ACTCTTGTTCATCCAATTGATTGGAACGTGCTTAATTTGGCGATTTTCATCTTGCTCCTGCTCTCCATCGCAAATTTCAGCACCTAATTTTGCTCCACTTCCTCCGTTGAAGAACCCAACAACTCCAGGGTTTGAAGGAGAAAACAAATTTAGCTCCAATTCATTAATTTGTGGGCAAATAACACACATAAACGACGTTGTTCAGCAATAATATTACTGACTTCATTTTATCGGTGAGTCACGTCAGATAGTTTATATTAAAATAATGTCACGTTAGATTTTTTTTTTGCCACACAAAACGCCAATGGCTCTAAAGTGATCAATTTTTCACATGACATTCAAGTAATTGAGAAGATAATTGCGTTATTGCAGTGAACGCCATAAAAAAGTTAAAGACAATCGTGATATTTTTTTCCAGATTCATAACCGAAGGCATCAAACATCTCCAACTTCTTCAAAGAACCTTTTTTTTTATTCCATAACCAATCGACCTATTGAAAGGTGAGGTGACACATGCCATAATATCGCATGCTAGGATTGCCTTTGCAGGCTGCTTTTTTTTTTTTTAATTCTAGAAATTTCCTCACTAGTGCTTGTTTTTTATTTGTCATGCACTTTCATGGTTTTCTCTGACGTTGTCAAGGGAAGATTTATATACAATAATTTCATTGATCGATGATTTTCAGTGGACCAAGCAACAAAAAAAGATGTCACAAATAAAATTGATCTACCTGCAATGAAGTAAGAGCGTGCCGGCCGAAAGGGCAAAAGGGAAAGTGATAATTGGCTAGTGTGATGTCGATATTGCCCATGACTACGGAACTTGAGGATCGACGACCGGCTATATGTTTAGCCTTGGTTCAGGAGCCATCTCTTAAGTCTTGGTGTGGCAAAAGTCAGGCTATATTTTCTGGGCCTCAGCGACGGTCGGTTACCGGCCACAGGTGAGGCTCAAGTTCGCCTATGGCCGGTCGTCGACCTTCGTCGTGGCCGGTGATTGCCTAAAGAAGGAGAAGGACAATGAAAAACAAATTATAAAAATATTTGATACGAACAATTCTAGAAAGTATTTTTACCTCATTGGATTTATGAATTCACTTTCTTAAATTTATGTGTGAATGTTTTCGTTGATCGGAAAAGTGTTTTCGATTGACTAGTAATTTTTCACGAATCAAACGGGTGAAAGTCTGGAAAATCAATTCTTGTACTTGCCTCCAAACAAACACGCCCTTAATACCTCTGCTCTCGCAAAATAATAATTTCAAATTGATATAAAGGAAATACACTATTTCTTTGATTGATTGTTGAAATATAACCTCAATATAATTAACTGACAAAGAACCAAGTGACTCTCATGTCTAATTAGATGTGACTTAGTAATTTATGTTTGAGAGTAAGTTGAGTTAGGTGAAAAACAAGAGAAAAATACAAGTGTTCAAACACATTCTTAAAAATAATGGATGCATAATTGCATATGGAGTACAAAAAAGGGGCATTTTCAAAATTGGTCCCCTCAACCTTTTTAGAATCTTTTACATTTGGATGCCCCTTCATCGGGCTTTTTGCTTAAAAACTCTCGAGTTTAAATAAAATGGATGGCGTTTTCGACCTAAAAAAATTTTGTCCCCATACTCTTGATGAAAGTTCAATTTCATCGTAGAACTTTAATTTTGGTTAATTATCGGATCAATTTAATTCCTCCAATTAACTTGGTCATGTTGGATTGGGCTGTCAGAAGCCACATCAGCAAAATCTAGAAAAAAGAATGAAAAAGAAGAAGATACAAACCAAAGGGTGAGAGAAATGGGGGAGGGAGAGGGAAGTGAGCGATGGCAGCATAGATAATTTAAGAGTAAGTTGATCTTAAAATTTATTGTACTATGTATGTGAAGAAGTGAGGGAAGAAAAGGGTGATTTCCAGTTTTAAATTTTTGCGCTTCTGTAAATTTTACGATAATCATATTGAATTTTATAAAACACGAAATATTATTAAAATTTAGGAGTAAAATTCATATAAATAGATGAAATAGGCCCGAGCGATGTTTGGCAAGATATTTATAATTTGTCCGCATGGAAAACTTCCCCGTTTTCTACAAAACGGAACGCCGTACATCAAACCCCCTTTGGTTTGAATGCTGAATTGCTTGGTTCATTTGACTATTTTTTTTTGTTTAATTTGACTTTAGTTGGCTCTTGAGATCCGTTTAGTTGCCTGTATGAAACCCTTTGGAAGATAAAACAATCTATTCTTCACATGGGTGGTATACCAGTGCGGATAATACTCAAGGGAAGGAATAGATAATATTAGGGGTGTAAAAAAAACCCGAGCCGACCCGGCCCGACTTGACCCGACCCGGCCCGGCCCGAAATTTTAGGGTATTTTGGGGTCAGGTCTTATTTTCTCTTGATATGGGTTTTAGATATGGGTATTTATTAAGATCGGGCCGGGTCAGGCCGGGCCGGGCTTTTTTGACCTGGCACCACTGCCCCCCTCTCCCCTTCGCTTCTTCTCTCTCGACCGTGAACATCTGTCTCCCCCCTTCCAGTTCAGCCATGGTCTTCCTTGCCTCCCACGCCCCCCCGATCAGGGAAAGCTTTCGATCCTCCCTCTTCGATTCCGACAGTTTCCCCCCCGGCGCGATCGATCCCCCCTTCGCCGTCGATCTCCGTGAATCGCCGCTGATTCGTCGACGCCGACGATGGAGGAGCCGGGGGAGCGCCCGGGGAGAAATCCTAGATCTCTTCTTCTTCTGCTACTTCTCTTCGGCGCTTTTTTTCGAGATCCCTTTCCGCGGGGCCGGCGGGGGGCGGTCGCTGATGGCGGATCAGGAGGAGGAGTACCTGAAGATGGCGCTGCGCCTCAGCATGCAGCACTCGCCGCCGGAGCCCAAGCGGAGCAAGCCCAGGGACGCTGCAGCCGTCGCCGCCTCGGCCACCGCCGCCGGGGGCTCGTCGCCAGAGGACGGCCGCCGGATGCAGAGGGAGCTCATGGCCGCCGCGGCTGAGAAGAGGATGCTGGCCGCGAGGAGCGCTGGAGCGGTGTCGCCTTCGTGGAGGCCCTGTGGTGTTGCAGTTGCAGAGAGAGAGAGAGAGAGAGAGAGAGAGAGAGAGAGATGGCGAAGTCTATGAGATCGAAGAGGGAGAAGAGGCTGAGAGCCATCCAGAGGGAGATCGTGGAGCCCTTCTACGACAACAGGGACGCCGCGAAGCTCGCCGCCCAGGAGGCCGCCCTCGCCGCTCCCAAGCTCCCCGTCCCCGCTCTCCCCAATTCTAGTTCCAGTTCCATGGAGGTCGCCGCCGCCGCCGCCGCATCTTCTTCCATGGGACCCTAAACCCGACCCGGACCGACCCGACCCGACCCTATTCTTGGAGTATATACTGAACAGGGTCTCGGATCGGGTCGAGCTTGACCCTGTATATTTCGGATCGGGTCGGGTATTATGAAAATCCAAGCCGACCCGACCCATTGACACCCCTGGATAATATCACGATAATAACTGGGAATTGTTTGATTGTCGTTGAAATGATTTGCTAAATCTAGAAATAATTTCATTGAGATTATTTATTCATTTATGCCAAAGTTTGCAGAAATAAATATCGGTAGTTTAATGGAACAATTACAATGGTGTTAATAATTGAATAAATATTGGTAATTTCACATAGGATCATAAGCGTGGCATTACTCTCGGCACATTAACAAACAATGGAATGAGGAGAAAAAAAATTATTCCTATTTTCTCCATGAATTTCATCTGCTCATAACAAATCTCGAAACACTTCGGTTCCATTTGTTTCTCCACAAAATTGTTTTTTTCTTTTTGTTATGCACGAATGAATGAAAGAAATACATAAAAAAACATCCTGTGCTCTAGGTAACCAACCTTAATAGGACATGGGAAAAGGTAATACTCTGTTTGCATAAGAACATATTCATATCATCTCAAGGATGAAGAGTTTTCAATTGACATATAATGACGTGCCATCTACTTCGAAGGCATTCTAGTCTATTTTCATTCCCACCAGCATCACAAGCCAGAGATGTTGAACCATTGCATTCACTTAGTCGACTAATTTCCCCGAGTTTCCTTGAAATAAGACAGAAAACACAACCCCATGCCAACCTGAAATTACTAATGTGAAGTAGGTACTCTCTACTGAATATGATACTTTACCTGCTATATTTACATTTACTAGGAAACGCGGATGATCTCCTGAATCTGATCTCTGTCGGGCTGCCATCATGCAAATATTCTTCATACTTCTACATAAGGCATATGTGTTTTCCATCATTATGGTATTCTTCGTGTAAATGACAATAAAAGAACATGACTAGTATCTTCCAAGTCAATTTGCACTCCTAATATTGCCCATGAACTATTCCTATGTCTACATTACAGTTGTAGTTGGAAGTCCTTGCTTCTGATGCAGTATAAATTAAGCTCTCCACAAAAGTAAAAATCATATGCATAGCTCCTCCCACTTCATTTCAGTGCCATAAACAGCTGGGTGATACCCAAGTCCTGAAGAATTTTTGTTCTTGCCATCGGCCTAGCCAAAAATGGTACCACAACTGCTTATTGCAGAAGTGAATCTCCAATTCTGTTCCGCAGCAGCTGTAACAGAACATTCTGATTTGAGCCGTCATTCAAAAAAAGATGGCATTAACAGATTTAGATCAGCTCTCAAATATTGTAGGACTTAAGCAAATCACCTTTCTGGCCGCCCATTGATTACTTGTCATGTTTATCCAAAAAAACATGAAAGCGACACCGTTGATTTAAGGACATCCTCCATACTTCTGGTTTGGATCTCACATCGTTATCCACAATACAGTGAAAATCCTCTGTTTGTTTAAAGCCTCTGGGGCGTAGACGTTGTCATCATCAAACAATGACCGAACTGAAGTAAGGAATTGCGAATGATGTAAGGGTAAGAATTTGCAAGATGATTAATAAAGGCATGAAGTAATACAAGGAAAGAGTGACTACATGATTTTGTACCAGGTTTCCACTGTTGATGATAATACTTTCAGCCTGATCAAGGCCATATATCTGCCTTCAGAGAGAGCAATCTTCACATTGGCATATTAAGTGACAAGCAAAGTTTGATACTAATCCATGGAGATTCATCATCTTGACATTAGTGCCCTAGCTTTGAGAAAATGCTGAACACGTTTATGGTACCTTCACTGCCTACTTCCATGACCAAATAACGAATTAATAAAATGCAATCAAGATCACATACGCATGAGCAGTTTCCAGAATCCATCAGATAGTGAAATTCTCTACTTCATAGAAGATAAAGAGAAGTATTACTTTATTCACACAAGCGCAGAATGCTACCACGTCGAGAATGAAGAATCTCGTACTGTGATGGACACCTCCCATTCATAAAGCACGACACAATGCAATCGGTTTAAAGAACGTCCCTGTCGCATCCATATCCCAGATATTTGGTTGGAATATCCCACAACTGCCTAAATTCCAGTGAAGCTCCTGGTCATTTGAAGCATCAGGGGCATGAGAAATTGTCATCACCAAATGAAGAACGAACAGATGGATGCAAATTCGATACGTGAAGACACTAATTGATGGTACAAACATGTGAAATGGATATAGGTATGACGAAAAACAAGAAAGAGCACAACATGATTCCTACCAGATTTTCCACCGTAGAGGATGTTACTTATGACAGGATCAAGGCCATGAATCCACCATCAGATTGTGCAATCTATGTATTAACATCTCAAATGACAAACAAAGTTGCATATAGATCCATGGAAATTCATCATCTCAACATCAGTGTCCTGGATTTGAGAAAAGTAAAAATGTTATGATGGTGCCTCCGGTGGCTTATTAATCCATGACAGAATAAGTGGACAAAAGCTACTAAAAATGCAATCAAAACCACTTAGACATGAGTAGTTGCCATGATCAATCAATTATTAGAAGTGTTATTCCGCATTGGTTAAATAAAGGGTTTCAACAGGGGTTATATACATTGAGTCTACCTCAGACTAATACTTTAAGCTTTTGGGGGGAACTTTTGATAACAAGTAATGAAGTTCTTTTTTATTATGTATGAATGAATGAAAAAAAAAAAACACATAATAAACATCCTCTGTTCTAGGAAACAAACCTTAATAGAACTTGGAAAAAGGTAATACTCTTTGTTTGCGTAAGAACATATTCATGTCATGTCAAGAATGAAGAGTCTTTCTTTGTGACTGATGACGTATGATGACATGCAATGTACTTCGAAGGCATTCTTATCTATTTTCAATCCCACCAGGATCACAAGCCAGATGATGCTGAAGCATTGCATTCACTTAGTCGACCAATTTCCCCAAGATTACTTGAAATAAGACAAAAAAATAAGACATCGACACAACCCCATGCCAAACTGAAATTACTAATGTGAAGTAGGCACTCTTAACTTAACTGAATATGATACTTTACCTCCTATATTTACAATTACTAGGAAACACGGATGACCTCCAGAACCCGATCTCTGTCGTGCTGCTGTCATGCAAATATTCTTCATAATTCTACATGGGGCATATGTGTTTGCCATCATTCGGGTATTCTCTTTGCGTGAATGATAATGAAAGAGCATGATTTCTCTCATCAGGATCTAGAGACATGCATCAAACTGTTGTGAAAATGATAATAAAAGAACATGACTAGTATCTTCCAAGTCAATTTGCACTCCTAATATTGCCAATGAGGTATTCCAATGTCAAGATTACAGTCATAGTTGGAAGTCCTCGCTTCTGATGTAGTACCAATTAAGCTCTCCACAGAATTAAAAATCATATGCACAGCTCCTCCCACTTCATTTCGGTGCCATTAACAGCTGGGTAATATCCGAGCTCCGAAGATTTTTAGTCCCTGCCATTAGGCTAGCAAAAAATGGTCCACATTTCTGGTTGAAAGCACAGTTATTGCAGGAGTGGCTTTCCAATTCTGTTCAGTGGCAGCTGTAACAAAACATTCTGATTTGAGTTCGAGTTCAAGAAAAGATGGCAATAAGAGATCAAGATCAGCTCTCAAATATTAAAGGACTTAAGCAAATCACCTTTCTAGCCACCCATCGATTACTTGTCATGTTTATCCCAAAAACATGAAAGCAATACAGTTGATTTAAGACTTCTTCCATACTTCTGGTTTGGATCTCACACTGTTATCCACAATATAGTGGAAATCCTTTGTTCTTTTTAAGCATCTGGGGTGTAGGCAGTGTCATCACCAAACAATGACCAAACTGAAGTAAGAAATTGTGCATGATGTTAAGGTAGGAATTTGCAAGATGATAATTAAAGGCATGAAGAAAAACAAGGAAAGAGTGGCTTCATGATTGGTACCGGGTTTCGACTGTTGATGATAATAATTTCAGCCTGATCAAGGCCATGTATCTGCCTTCAGAGACAACAATCTTCACATTGGCATATTAAGCTACAAACGAAGTTTGATACAGATCCATGGAGATTCATCATCTTGACATTAGTACCCTGGCTTTGTGAAAATGCAGAACACGTTTTTTGGTACCTTCACCGCCTACTGCCATGACCAAATAACGAGTTAATAAAATGCAATCAAGATCACATATGCAAGAGCAGTTTCCAGAATCCAATGGATAGTGAATTTCTCTACTTCATAGAAGTTGGAGAGAAGTATTACTTTATCTAAACAAGGGCAGATTGATACCATGTCAAGAATGAAGAATCTCGTACTATTTGACTGACATCAAATATCATTTTGGAGGCAATCTAATCTTTTTTATTCATATCATGATCACGAGCCAGATAAAACTCAAGCATTACAATTACTTTGCTCAAACAACTTCCTCCAGTTGCTGGAATTAAGACAGGAAAATTATAACGTGTCAAAGAAAAGCTCTGTCCAAACAGAAAATACTATGAGAGCAGGTAATCTCCACAGAAAACGGCACTATACCTGCTATATTTTTTGTTTAGTAGGAAACATTAGCGATCTCCAGAATCAGATCTTTTTCTTTCTCTCTTCTCTCCATTTTCTTTCTACATGAGCTCACAGTTTAAGATGGAGCCAAGCGTCTCTTTTTTCTCCCCTTAAGCCCACGTCTACTTCCCTTGTTTAGTTGACTTTTCAACCTTCTCTGTCTTTTTTTTTTACGGGCCCCAGAATTTTTTTTTTTACTTGGTCAAATCCCAAGTATTACAGTAACTTCATAACAATAAGTCAATTACAACATACTGCACCAAACTACTATGGATAAAAATTGACACCAATATCAGTAACTCATCTACCAACCGGCGTGCTTCAACTTTTAAACTTGCGGATGAACACCCGAAACAACCTTTTATGTATTAATGTAAAGATAGAGTACACTCGTTCAACAAAAGGGGATTTGAACAATGACACATAATTATGTGCAACAATCAAATTGGACAAAACAAATGTCGCTTATTTTATGGTGGCAACATCTAAAGCCTCCACGAAGATTGATCTTTCTTCCTTACCATTCCACAATCAAGCTTCCCAAACAGCACAGATGGAGTTTTTGCAGGCGAATCGGGGACAGACTCCATGACGGAACAATGCAGCACCAGCGATCGAGGGCATGGCTTAATCGTGGACCAACCTTCTTGCCCAACATGAGAAAAGAAAAGCGTTGAAAAGCCTAAGGAACAGACAATAAGTTGACCAAAGCAGTCTCCACCCCTGCATCAAACATAACCCATTCCAGCTAGAGATGCAATCCGCAAATTCATAGTTGAAGCGGCCAACGACCAGATATTTCTCAAGCACGACTCAACGTCATTCTTTAACACCTTTTTGTGAACTGAAATCTTCAAGTAACTTAAAAGAAAAGCCACTTACTGTCAGATTCAGTCAACTCTGTACTCGAATTTCGCATCGGTGCGGGCAACAGTCGACTTGCATAATGTAACCTTCAACAAGCAAGACCATCACATTATAGAGGATCCATACAGAGGATGAGAGAATGAAAACCAACCATGGAAATAGAAACAAATTTAATGGTGTTTCTATTTCAACATTAGAAATCAAAAGGTACTTCCTGACCTTGTCAGCAAGACAAGAATTATTTTGCTATGATTGGCCATAAAATGCAAAGTTTTATGTTTTCTGAAGGTTTGAAGCACTGAGTATTGAACAAAAGACGCGTTGCAAATGCTAAAAACAATAGTATAGATGAAAGTTAGAAGCAAAAGTTCTTCCAAACACCCCACAATGTCAGAGCCCGATAACTCCTGGTGAAAGAAGAAACCGATGGGCTTCTAATATAGCAGCTCAAGCTTTTGCATTTTCCCACAGTCAGAAGGAGATAAGGAGCAATCCCTTTCAACTAGAAAGCTAGCAAAGAAAAAGTACGGAAAAAATGAACAAGCCATATTACCATCACAACAATTTGGACAATAGCGTCCTTTTCCATGCTAAATTAGTAGCCTTCGACACCATTTCACTACGTTATTAGCTAGATGGGATGAGTGAGGACATCCTTAGAGAATCTTATGAGAAGGAATTTCCACATACTCATGGAGAAAATGCTAGTTTGGATCATAGGTACAAACAAATGGTTCACAGGAGATTGTTCTTCCAAACACACCTCACGGTGCTTCAAGATCCGAGAACATGAAAGAAATGGCTATGAAAGTAGAACCTCATCAATCAAGGTAATCTTCCCGTTCAACCTGAGGTTAGTTCACATTAGTTCCGACAACTCTGCAGTCAATTTCCACGTTACCCAGATAGGGTGATAAAATCAACCTAAACCTATAATAGGCTCATAAGTCCTAATAATCCTGCTATACATGCTCTACGACTGCTCAAATAACGTAAGGAAAATTCACCACCATTGACACGAAACCTAATCAAAAGCTGCTGTAGTTATCTCATTACGCCATAGCAAACTGGCAGAAGAGAATAACCGAGCAGATCTCTGCACCTAACAGGAATCACAAGCTGATAAATATAACAGGACAACTAAACATGCTTCGCTGAACAATGCAGAAAAGCTCGAATTAGTTCGTTTCATTTCCTCCGTGTGCAGACATTGAACACCCAAAATCAGACCAACAACGGCGACTCAAAACCTCGAATCACCAGGATGCGCATGCACCAATCACACCAAGAATCAACCAATGAATAAACCGATCAATCAGCGACAAGAATGTATTAATGTTAAAACGGGTCCAATCACCTGGAACCACTGCCTTCACCAGATTCCTCGCCTCCAACTTTCAAGCTGGATATCCACCCTCCTCCTCTTCTTACCCCAGTGCCCAGAATCGCACCACGTCCTCCGCAACCTCATTTGCTTCCTCATGAAGATCCGACTATAGCCCCTGCAAACCTCAGTCAGTTTCTTGCTATTTCTTCCCTCATAAACCTATGGCTCGTCCTCGTCGGGTGGTAAAAAGTCCGGTAATTTCTTGAGTGACTCGCACCCATACCTTTCAAAGTGATCTAGAAGTTTACTAGGGCAGCGAATTTCAACTCCTTCAGATGCTCCGACTTTGAAAGGTCCAGTGATCGGATGTGCTTGCGTCCAGAGATATCCAACCATTCCAGGGATCCCAATTCTTCCATTGGAGTTTATGAGCCAGAGTATTTGTCGAAGTTATTGCACGCAAAGATCACACAGCGTCGGTCCCCAGCCACCGGCGAGCTCGAAAACCACCGCCGGCGGTCGCTCGTTTCGGACACCAGCTAAAACACCGAGACCCGAGAAGACGACGAAACCGCGAGTTCCGTTCCCCTACGAGTACAAGCCAAACGGGAACCGGAAATACGGGAACCGAGTCGGTCCGTGGCGACGCCGCCGCTTGAGGCGGAGGAAGAGACCTGGCGTATCGAAGCGGCGGAGGAGAGGCGGTCCGGCGAAGACAAGTCTATGATCGGGAGTTCGAGAGCCGTCGCCATATGAGCTTTTTTGTCCTTGGACGCCGACGGTGGGTTTTGGAACGAGGGAAGGGGAAGAAAATGTGCAGAGGAGAGTATCATCCGGGGGAGGGCTATGTCTAGATTTTCTCTTTCTAATGGACCGGTTGGAGACAATAACATGGACAAATACTCTGGCTCATCAAATGTGCTAAGTGACGGCGATGAAGTCATATCATGTGATTGTTCAATTTGATCTTTTTATCCATAGTGCAGGTCGTGTCATCCACGTAGATATATCGGAGTTATGACATTGAGACCTAGCGGGCGTTGTGCAGATGACTATTTGAGCCAGGAGTGCACCCAAAACTTACTAAACTGCATGACCAACTTCAAGAACTTGGGAGGCCGAACGTTTAAAGGAAGCAAATGCCAAGTCGAGGATGTCGTCGATGTCCTCTCTGTTGTCATGGAAGTTGCTTTGCTTGCCAGGAGATACCTCCACAAGCCCTGAATCTTTGTCCACGTTCTGCTGATGTATCAACTCGGATCCCTTCATTCACTTCGTGATCATCCCTTTCTTCTTTGATTTTTTTTTCCTAACTGTTTGTCTGTGTCTGCTCTTATTCTATTACAAAGTAGCATAGCGGGCTATCAAGAAAAAAGGTCTGATCAAGTAGGAAATGCCGATGAAATTCGCAATACATCTCTGCCATGAATAATGTGGCCTGCTATTTACATTTGAAATGAAACTGTTAAAAGAAGTGATCCATTTTCAAGAAGCATCTAAACCTCTCCTCTCTATACATGCAACAAAAATCTTGGATATAGTCAAAGAGCCTATAAATTACTCGAGCACACATAGCCTTATGTCTTTGACCACATTTACAAGCTAACTCTAGAACTTGATGAGTAGGCAAAAATCCAGCCAATGGCCTTGCAGTAGAGTCTGTGGATAGACATGCTTGACTTTTATTGGGTACAGTAGCTTAAAAAGCGATGTGGTTCAGGCTAGCGAGTCTCTTAACTCTCTACTTTTCCGGGGCGGATGCAGTCACTGATAAGCACGAAATGCTAGCACAAAACTATGAAATCCACGGGGTACCCTTTGAGGCGAGTGATTTTTCCATTGCCCCGCCTTCAAACTTCTGCGCATCAATCGCGAGACCCTACAGATTTCACAATTTCAAAATCATATCAAACATCGTCACCGGTAGGCTAACCTACGTGATGATTGTATTGAAACTCTTGAAATTAACCTGGGACACATCTGCTTCTTCTTTAGATACCCAAGAGACAATCCAACCACTGTCCTCTCCAACGCCATCTTTCTTAGGGACAAGAATACACCTGCTTTAGGAGCTGTCCTTTTGGAAATTATGGTACTCGACCTTCATCAACTTCTCGTGATATCTTCCTCTCTAATTCAAGGCTGCAGTAAGGTACATTTCGACATATACAATGGATTATCAGAATGACTTGGAAACACTTTCACTAATACCTCAGAGTCAGACAGCCTAGGAGAAGGTTCGTCGAAGTATAATTTCACTAGATTTCCATATTTAACCATTCCTGAATCAAACAAGTGATGCATAAACAATAGGAAACTGATCTTATGCGCTACTTTGGGCAAGTGGACATGGACTAGAGAGTAGAGACTAGCATTGCATTACCACATTCAGAGCTTGACTTTGAAATGATGACTTGAGGATAACCACACTTGTTACGCAAGCCGGTCAAATTGCATTTATGAAAGGGAAGTCCATAGAGAATTCAGTGCCCATAAGATTTGACTCCTGAACTTCCCCAATTTCCATGTTCAATCTCCACTCGTAGGCACAGGTAAACAGATAGCCTCCGTGTTTGTTAGCATTTGCATCCACCGGTTCTCTAAAGTTGAATCCTCTCGAGAACCAATCAAACTTGTTGATACCTCAATCGGGACACGGAAACACCAATGTAAGAGCTCTCCATCTTCTCACCACAACCTGCATTGTTGGGCAATATCATTCAAGTGGAGGCTTAGTCTAACGGGATTGTCACCTTCAAATTAGGCTTATAGGAAAAGTATACCACATGACCATCCTGAAAGCAGCTGAATATGTGAAATGTGCAGCTTGATTCTACACAAAACCATCGGACTGAACTCACATCTCCATAATGTAGCATCACCCCTATCCTTGCATATCTTCCTCGTCATACTTCAGTAACCTACATGCCAAGAAAACCATTAGCTGCTTCAACAAACTAAAAAATCAAGTAATAGTTCGAGAAAGATAGGCATTCATGGATTCAGATCTGCTCTCAAACATTCCAGGAGTGAAGTAAAGCACCTGTTTTCATTACTATGACGGACAACTCCTGTTCATAAAGCACGACACAATGCAATCAGCTTAAAGAACATCCTGTCGCATCCATATCGCAGATATTGGTACGGATCACACATCATTGCCAAAATTACAGTGAAGCTCCTGGTCATTTAAAGCATTAGGAGCATGAGAAATTGTCATCACCACATGAAGAATGGACAGAAGGATGCAAATTCGATACGTAAAGACATGGACTGATGGTATGAACATGTGAGATGGATATAGGCATGACAAAAGACAAGAAAGACTGCAAGATGATTCCTACCAGTTTTTCCACCATACAGGATGTCACTTTTGACAGGATCAAGGCCATAAATCCACCTTCAGATGACAAACAAAGTAGAATATAGATCCATAGAATTTCATCATC